TTACTTTAAAATAATAATAATAATAATATTAATATTAATAATAAATATAATAGTAGCAGTTGTTATTTATCTGTAACATTTAATCAAATAATATTTCTGTTTTAAGAAACTAAAACTATTAGTATCTAGTTATTATCTAGATTTTCAGTTAAAAATAGAATTGATTAATTAAGTAATAAATGAATTGTTATTAATTACTACTACTACTACTACTAATGATAACAATAATAATATTAATAGTAACAATAATAATTATAATAATAAATCATTATAAGTATGATTATCACAATAAATAAAAATAAATAAATAAATAAATAAATATGAAGAAATAAATAAGAATTAAATATGAATAAATTCTGAAATTCGTGTATGTTTAGGTACATTTCACTTTTCATAAACAACTAAAAGATCAACAAACAAACAAATAAATAAAGAAACAAACACAAACAAATAGCTTTTTTCAAACAGTTTGTGTTGTGTTTTATTCGTAAGAAGATCATATAAAAGCAAACATGTTTCAAAAATGTGCTATAATGATTGATTTCAAATCAAATTATCATCATAAAAAATATAATAATACAAAAATTAAACCAAATCCATAAAGTGGATTACAAACACCTGAGGACACCTGATGTCAGGTTACAGAAATCCTTGAATCAATACACATATTTGGTCACACTTCATTTTAAGGAACAATTCCCGCTCTTAATAATCCACTAACTAAGACTTTTAGCTCAATAAATTACTATTTTCTGCTTAATTATCTGCTTATTATGGTTATTAGGTATTAGGGATGTAAAACAAGACCATACTTTACAAGTGCTTATAAACATCTTCATAATAAGCGAGTAATAATCCACTAGTTAATAGTGAGAATTGCTACTTAAGCTGAAGTGCTACAGAAATAATCATTATTAATACAACGTGTGTCGTTCATCAGAATCATTTACAGTTTGGCTAATACGCGAATAATGTTACATCCATTTAAAGTACAGTTTAATAGATTTAATCTGAAACTAAAATCATCCCACACGTTCAGCATTTCGTTATTGATATCACATAAACAACACGCACACATCAAAGTTGACTAGTGGATAACTAACACAGGTGAAGCTAACGCTTGGCTCCGCATTGGCAGCGTGTGGCGTGTCTGTATGTGAAGCGACTCTGGGAGTTTTTACCGCAGTTCAGCAGGATTTCTCTCATCTCAGAAGCCGTTTCCTCACAGAGCTGATGTGTCTGGTCGAGCTGCAGCGTCCCGTTAGTGGGAACCCATCTGAAACGCAACAAATAGGACAAAACGAAACATTTAGCATCTGATTTGGCTTGGATGAACGTTAGCTAGTGCTAATATTTATGGAAGCTTGTGTAGCTACTGAATTAAAGGGATAGTTAATCCTCTGAAAAAGTGACTCTAGCCCCGCCTTCTAGAAAAAAAGAGCCAATCATTGATCACTATAGACTGATGAATCTATGGGGGAGGGGCTTTGTGTGTCTTTATGACAGTTTCTGCAGCTTCATTGTTATGAACACACTTGTGTCGCTGGAAACTCAGCGAATACTTGCTTCACAGACATGAGAAACATATCAACGTGAAGCTGAAGGTCTCTACTTTTAACTGAGCTAATTAGACTTGAAAATAAATGTTCTCTGGTTGTGTAATCTGTTTGAAATGACCATGAGATACAATATGTTCCTCACGATTTCCCGCCTTCACCATTCAAATGCAAATCACATGACAGAAACCACTTAACGCCCTCAAATATGTAAACAAAGAGGTTGTTTACATTGTGTGAGAGGAGATTTCCTGTCAGAAATGTACCGGGAATCATTTCAGAAGACAAGTGCAATCGGACAAGGCTTTATTATTGTGTGACAGCTAAGTTGTTGATTCTTACAACTAACATAGTTTGATTGACAGGATGACGCATGATCGAGTCCTCCAGAAACGATCGTGAATGGATGGTTAGATAAATACGCAACAAATCAGACCCTGAACAAACAGTAAGGAAAAAAATAACGAATGAAAAAATGAAAACGCTTTGCATCTTAATTGACGTGCTGGAAAGCTAGCTAGTGCTTATATTTATGGACGTTTGTGTAGTTGTGTAGCTACTGAATTAAAGGGATAGTTAACCCTCAAAAAAAGGGACTCTAGCCCCGCCTTCTGGAAAAAAAGAGCCAATAACTGATCACTATAGACTGATGAATCTATGGGGGAGGGGCTTTGTGTGTCTTTATGACAGTTTCTGCAGCTTCATTGTTATGAACACACTTGTGTCGCTGGAAACTCAGCGAATACTTGCTTCACAGACATGAGAAACATATCAACGTGAAGCTGAAGGTCTCTACTTTTAAATGAACCAATTAGACTTGAAAACAAATGTTCTCTGGTTGTGTAATCTGTTTGAAATGACCATGAGGTACAATATGTTCCTCGCGATTTCCCGCCTTCACCATTCAAATGCAAATCACATGACAGAAACCACTTAACGCCCTCAAATATGTAAACAAAGAGGTTGTTTACATTGTGTGAGAGGAGATTTCCTGTCAGAAATTTGTTAGGAATCATTTCAGAAGACAAGTGCAATCGGACAAGGCTTTATTATTGTGTGACAGCTAAGTTGTTGATTCTTACAACTAACATAGTTTAATTGACAGGATGACGTATGATCGAGTCCTCCAGAAACGATCGTAAATGGATGGTTAGATAAATACGCAACAAATCAGACCCTGAACAAACAGTAAGGAAAAAAATAACGAATGAAAAAATTAAAACGCTTTGCATCTTAATTGACGTGCTGGAAAGCTAGCTAGTGCTTATATTTATGGACGTTTGTGTAGTTGTGTAGCTACTGAATTAAAGGGATAGTTAATCCTCAAAAAAAGTGACTCTAGCCCCGCCTTCTGGAAAAAAGAGCCAATCATTGATCACTATAGACTGATGAATCTATGGGGGAGGGGCTTTGTGTGTCTTTATGACAGTTTCTGCAGCTTCATTGTTATGAACACACTTGTGTCGCTGGAAACTCAGCGAATACTTGCTTCACAGACATGAGAAACATATCAACTTGAAGCTGAAAGTCTCTACTTTTAACAGAACTAATCAGACTTGAAAATAAATGTTCTCTGGTTGTGTAATCTGTTTGAAATGACCATGAGGTACAATATGTTCCTCACGATTTCCCGCCTTCACCATCTAAATGCAAATCACATGACAGAAACCACTTAACGCCCTCAAATATGTAAACAAAGAGGTTGTTTACATTGAGTGAGAGGAGACTTGCTGTCAGAAATGTGTCAGGAATCATTTCAGAAGACAAGTGCAACCGGACAAGGCTTTGTTATTGTGTGACAGCTAAGTTGTTGATTCTTACAACTAACATAGTTTGATTGACAGGATGACGCATGATCGAGTCCTCCAGAAACTATCGTAAATGGATGGTTAGGTAAATATGCAACAAATCAGACCCTGAACAAACAGTAAGGAAAAAAAGAACGAACGGAAAAATGAAAACACTTTGCATCTTAATTGACGTGCTGGAAAGCTAGCTAGTGCTTATATTTATGGACGTTTGTGTAGTTGTGTAGCTACTGAATTAAAGGGATAGTTAACCCTCAAAAAAGGGACTCTAGCCCCGCCTTCTGGAAAAAAAGAGCCAATAACTAATCACTATAGACTGATGAATCTATGGGGGAGGGGCTTTGTGTGTCTTTATGACAGTTTCTGCAGCTTCATTGTTATGAACGAACTTGTGTCGCTGGAAACTCAGCGAATACTTGCTTCACAGACATGAGAAACATATCAACTTGAAGCTGAAAGTCTCTACTTTTAACAGAACTAATCAGACTTGAAAATAAATGTTCTCTGGTTGTGTAATCTGTTTGAAATGACCATGAGGTACAATATGTTCCTCACGATTTCCTGCCTTCACCATCTAAATGCAAATCACATGACAGAAACCACTTAACGCCCTCAAATATGTAAACAAAGAAGTTGTTTGCATTGTGTGAGAGGAGATTTCCTGTCAGAAATGTACCGGGAATCATTTCAGAAGACAAGTGCAATCGGACAAGGCTTTATTATTGTGTGACAGCTAAGTTGTTGATTCTTACAACTAACATAGTTTGATTGACAGGATGACGCATGATCGAGTCCTCCAGAAACGATTGTAAATGGATGGTTAGATAAATACGCAACAAATCAGACCCTGAACAAACAGTAAGGAAAAAAAAATAACGAACGAAAAATTAAAACGCTTTGCATCTTAATTGACGTGCTGGAAAGCTAGCTAGTGCTTATATTTATGGACGTTTGTGTAGTTGTGTAGCTACTGAATTAAAGGGATAGTTAATCCTCAAAAAAGGGACTCTAGCCCCGCCTTTTAGAAAAAAAGAGCCAATAACTGATCACTATAGACTGATGAATCAATGGGGGAGGGGCTTTGTGTGTCTTTATGACAGTTTCTGCAGCTTCATTGTTATGAACACACTTGTGTCGCTGGAAACTCAGCGAATACTTGCTTCACAGACATGAGAAACATATCAATGTGAAGCTGAAGGTCTCTAAATGAACTAATTAGACTTGAAAACAAATGTTCTCTGGTTTTGCAATCTGTATGAAGCAATCACGAAGTACAGACCTGTCCTGCCTGACCGCGCGATAATTCCCGCCTCAATAAACATTTAACTTGGTGGAAAGTTAGCTACTGCTAATATTAATGGGAGCTTGTGTAGCTACTGCTTTGAAGTGACATCTAACCCTCAAAAAAGTGACCCTAGCCCCCCTTCAAGAAAAAGGAGCCAATCATTGACCGATCTACATCCTGTGGGGAGGGGTTTGCAGTGTTTTTATGGCAGTTTCTGCAGCTTCATTGTTATGAACGCACTTGTGTCGCTGAAAGGTCAACGAATGATTGCTTGACAGACATTAGACATGACAGGTTTCCAGCTTTCTTCAAAACTTGTGTTCAGCGGAAGAGATAGAGAGAGCGATAGAGATGTGTATATATATATATATATATATAAATATATAATTTTTAGTTTAAAACAAAATGAAAAAAAAAATATATATATATATATATATATATATATATATAAATAAAAAAAAAAAAAAGAAAAAAATATAGATATAAAAAAAAAATATAAAAAAGTATTTGTATATATATATATATATATATATATATATATATATATATATATATATATATATATATATATACAGGGTAAGTCTAAATTATTAGCCCACCTGTTTATTTTTTCCCCCAATTTCTATTTAATGGAGAGGAGATTTCTTCAACACATTTCTAATTACTCATCTCTAATAACTGATTTATTTTCTCTTTGCCATGATGAAAGTAAATAATATTACACTAGATATTCTTCAAGACACTTCTATACAGCTTAAAGTGACATTTAAAGGCTTAACTAGGTTAATTAGTTTAACTAGGCAGGTTAGGGTAATTAGGCAAGTTATTGTATAACGATGGTTTGTTCTGTAGACTATCGGAAATATATAGCTTAAAGGGGCTCATAATATTGACCTTAAAATGGTGTTTAAAAAATTAAAAACTGCTTTTATTCTAGCCGAAACAAAACAAATAAGACTTTCTCCAGAAGACAAAATATTATCAGACATACTGTGAAATTGTCTATACAGTTGAAGGCAAAATTAATACCTCTTCTAATTGTTTTGCTCTTTTTCAAATATTACCCAAGCAATGCTTAATGGAGCAAGCAAATGTTCACAGTATTTTACAGTGTAATAGTTATTTTCTTCTGGAGAAAGTCTTGCATCTTTTAGTTTGGCTGAAATCCTGTTATTATGACATTTATGTGAAGCTGCTTTGACACAATCTACATTGTAAAAGCGCTATATAAATAAAGCTGAATTGAATTAAAATGAAATAAAAAACTTAAACATAATAATTTTAAGGACATGTTATTAGTTTTAATGGACATATATATATATATACACATTGTTTTTAAAATATGCTGAATTATTCTTGAAAGTATTTGCATTTACGCTAATAAGAGTGAGTAAATTATGAAAGATTTTTTTTTTTATTATTTCTTACTGGAGCACGTGTTTAAAAATATGACATCAGAATAACTATAAAAACACAAAACATCCAATAACAATTGTTATTCAAAATATACTGTATTGGGTATTTTGGTACTACAGTTTCATGTATGCAGTTATCCGCTGGTAGAAAACAATCAGAAATGTAAAAATGATTTGTCATGACAAAAATACAAACACAAAATGCACAAGATTTTCATCTGTGTTTATAAATACATTTATTATCAAATAAAAAAAAATACAGAAAAAGACTAATGTTCCGATAGTACCATCTAGTGGCCAAATTAATAGTCAAGAAACTCAGTAGCTGTTTTATGTTCACCCCTATAAATCTGACAAGTTAACTTAATGATTTGCGCTGAGTCAACATGAATGCACTGCATTTTATGCACCGTATAATTATGTATAGTTATTTGTTGTTTTTAAATTTTGTTACTTTCAATTATTTTTTTATTCAAATATTTGTTTATTTATTTATTTAACTTTTGATTGTTTTTACAATTTGTTACATTTGCTTATTTTTATTTACTCAACCATTTTTTTTATTTATTCATTGAACTATTTATTTATGCAACTCTTTGTTGTTTTCAAAATGTTTTAAGTAATTGTTTATTTAATTGTTTGATTATGTTTTAACCAAATTGTTTATTTAAACATTTGTTGTTTTTAAAGTTTGCTGCATTTATTTATTAACTTTTTTGTTTATTCAACTGTTTGTTGTTTTGTTAAAAAAAGTCTATATTTTTTATTTATTCAACTAGTTGTTGTTTTTAACTTTTTTAATTTAAATTGTTGTTTGTTTATTTATTCAACAATTTACTTCATCCATTAATTTTCCTTCGCTTTCGGTTTCAGAGATTTTCACAGCGGAATAAACCACTAACTATTCCAGCATATGTTTTACGCGGTGGATGCCTTTCCAGCTGCAACCTACGACTGGGAAACGCTCTCATTCACACATACACTACGGCCAATTTAGCTTCCCCAATTCACCTATAGCGCATGTGTTTGGGCTGTGGGGGAAACCCACGCGTACACCGGGAGAACATGCAAACTCCACACAGAAACGCCAACTGACCCAGCCAAGGCTCGAACCAGCGACCTTCTTGCTGTGAGGTGACAGCTCTACCCACTGCGCCAACATAAAAATTAGTCGTTTTTAAAATTGGTTACATTTATTTTGTTTTTATTTCATTTATTCAACTATTTGTTGTTTTTAAAATTTGTTACATTTATTTATTCAAACATTTTATATTGTTGTTGTTGTTGTTTTTTGTTATCTTTGACTTTATTATCAGACCTTTACATAACAATCTAAGCATCTCAAAAACACTAAACATTCTGCTTTATTTTCGAGTAAACAGTGTTTGAAAATCAGATATCAGACTTGCCTGTTTTGGGTCTCACACTGTCCTTCACAACTGGCCAGTTCAACCTCCTGTGTGCAGTTCGAGATGGTCAGATTTACCCTGGTCATCCTGACAGAACATGTTACGTTACCTGTGAAGCAAATAAAAGGATAAGTTACATTTATTACCTTCATTACTATAGCAATTTACATTATACAGGTACTCAAGTCATTTATAACCTCAAATGATCTTAAATTAATATTTGTTTGATCGATTTTTTGAAAGCGAAGAACAGTAATAAACAATAGAGTCATATCTGTTAATGATACTATACGATACAAATGTACTAATGTAGATATTTATAAATGTACAATACAATTTTAAACCTTTTTAAGGTATTGTTTTAATATAATCAATATCATTTGTGACATTCGCAAGGTTTACTTTCGTTTGTAATCCATTTGATGCGTTCTGCTGAAGTCAATAAAGTAATAAAAAATAATTTTTCAAAAATAAAAATGTATAAAAATGTAAAAAAACAAAAAAATGTATAACTTAGAAATTTTTTAACTAAATAAGAATTAAAATGTGTGGATTTTTAAAGAGTTTATACCTTTTTTAGTTATTTTATGTTATGTATACTTTTATTTATTTTTAAATCATCAACATTATTAATGTTATACAAATGCTGTTCTTCTGACCTTATTATTAATAACTATTCATATAATTAATATAAATAATTAAATAAATATATTGAATTAATAATTATTAATTTTATTTAGTTTAATTAAATATTATTTCATTTATTTATTTTAATGTAATATTATTTTTTACTTTGTCTTTTATTTAGTTTATAGTTATTTTATTTTATATTAATTTTCAAATTTAATATTTCTTTACATATTTTTTATTTAATATTTATTTTTTATTTAATATTTTTTACTTTTTATTATCTTTTACTTTATTTTATTTTTATTGCTTTTATTTTATATTTATTTTATTTTATTTTATTTTATTTTTTATTTTTAATATTTCATTTTTAATAAATTAAATTTTATTCAATTTCTGATCAATTTAATTCATTGTTAATTCAAGAACCCTTTTCTGATGTATGTTTTTTAATCTAATTTAATTTAATTTAATTTTATTCTATTTTATGTTTATTTTAATTTTATATAATATCATTTTTTACTTTATATTTTTATATTTATTGTGTATATATTTTTTTTTAATATTTCATTTATATATATATATATATATATATATATATATATATATATATATATATATATATATATATATATATATATATATAT